CCCTTACACTCATGTTTCAAATCTTACCTATCTGATCGTAAGCAGCACGTACAAATAAGAGACACTAAGTCTTCACCACTGAAGATCGACTGGTTCACCCGGCCTGAGAAAACTTTTGTGTCAAAAGTGAAACGTTGCCCACAAACCATACCAATCGGTTGCTTTCAAAACTTTCTGAAATCAAAAGTGGTCTGATTCAAGGAAGTGTGTTAGGTTCCTTGCTCTTCCTAATGTATAATGAATGATAAAACGGAAAAAATAATATTTGGGACACCCTCGGAAACATTCGCATAGACCTGGTCTTGGAATCGTGGTGCACTGACTGCCAAATGTCTTTCTCAGTGGACAAGTGCAGTGTGTTAACATCCATGTGCGAACTTTTGCCGAATACACTTTATCTTGGTGTTAAACCCTTCCCCTGTAATAAGACTACACGAGATCTGGGCATCCAGTACTCTAACACTTTGAATTTTGGTGAACAAGTTGAATTCATAACGGCCAGATCACGAAGTAGCGCAAAACTTATCTTAAAATCATTTTCGATGCGTGAACCTAAACTGCACTTGTTTAAGGTCTGCGTTCGCCCTGTACTAGAGTACTGTTCGATTTTCTTTACAAGCAACAGGATACGTGACCGCATGTGCCTGGAAAACGTGCAGAGATCATCCGCAAAGGCTCTCTTTAACTCTTCATCTAAAGTTTACTATGAACGTTGTAAGATGCTACAACTGGAGCCGCTGTGGTTAAGACGCATGAAGCTTGGATTAATATTTCCATTTGATTTGATCTATAAGCGCGTTTTCGCGCCAAATATCAATATTTCCTTCAAAAAAGTAGCTAGTTACGCAGTTAGAAATACCAAGAACAGGCATAAGTTCGGGAATAAGGTTTCACTTATGCCCGAAGCAAATTCTTCCTAAACAGATACACTGGGATCTGGAACAGCCTCCCTATTGAAATAAGAGAATGCGAATCACAAGCACTGTTTAAAAGTGCCTGACGGTGCAATACATAAAAACAACGTTGCAACTAAATTGCAAAGAAAAAGTGTTACTTGAACAGGGGAGCGAGACTTGCGTTGATGACAAATACACATGAAATGTGCTACGTACATTGCATTCAGTTGGTCAGGCCTTCATGAAGAAGTGTATTGGAAAATAGATCTATGGTTGCCAGAACTCTCTTCACTCGACCCACTTTGCTTCTTTACTCGAGAAAGCATAACTGACAGACACACCAACAAGTGTGGAGTGCAGAGGAATTGCGAACTGAGATGGCAATAAGCATTTTTGTCTCCACTCCTTCATATTCTGTTTACTTAGCCACGCCTATCTTGCAGCCATACCAAAAAAGTGTGAGCTGATAAGGAAACGCTGACTGAATATATCCATCTTCATCCGCTTTTACCATTCGTTCTCTTACTCGTCTATGCTTCGCGTGTTGCTCATATGTAAACTTGTCAGGCATCAAATTCTCATAAGATACTTGGAATCGATCGAGTAGTCATGAGTTCAGAGGTTTGGAAACAATCGATTGTTTCCAAACCTCTCCGAACTCATGTCAGGTATCACTGTGAAGCTAACCGATTCTGCTTCCAACATCATCACTATTTCGAATATTCTCTCATATTTCCTCGTGCTCGCTTACGCCTAGCGTACAGTTATATCAAAATATCTGCGCCAGTTGACAAGTGCCAATCATGTTCACCTCAGACATAACCGATAAATCACCTACTGTATCTGTCTCAGCTCATACGTACTGCTGCTGAAATGCAAGTAAATAAATACCGTCTTTCACCAATCTTTTTAGAACGCCACAATGTATAGTAAATGATTTAACTACATCAGATGCTTTGTTTAAATGGTGTGCTTTCAGTTCTAATCTCTTCCTATCATCTAAGTTGCTTCTCATCCTTTGCCCAAGGACATGCAAACGCGGTCCCGTCCGTACAAAAGATCTCCGTCAAGACGCCATGATATATTCTCTGTCCAAACAAGTGCAAAACTCTGGCGCATTGAAAAGCGTTTTTATTCCTTTCTGACATATGGAATTTGCTGTTAAACTAGACGAAACAGTATGGTCATGCGGAACAAGGCATGCCTCGTAAAACCGAGAATATACATTATTACTTCATGTCCTGTAATGGAGCTGTATCAAAAAGTCATCGGTTGCTTCACCTGCTTTTGCGAGTTTACTTCATCGAGTTAAAAGCGTACACAGTACCACATCTAGCCAAAACCTTGCCGTAAAAATGCAGCTCTATGCCACCAGAGCGGATCTCCCTTTGGCATAATCAATAAAAATATCGATAAACCTGCGGCGCACTATCAGAGGTGTGCTTCGCCCGCGATACGCGAGCCTATGGTTGCGCCGAGGCGCTGAATGTGACACCTTAGATAACGACTACAAGTGGCCCGAGACAATCGAATATATGAACGGTGCGTTCATCTGAGTGGTTTAATAATCATGAAGTAGTTAAACTAACAGCAAAACGTCTACCTTCCTAGTTGAATGGTGCACGCTACTCCGATATCATTTGATAAGCGTAAAAGCGAAATACTGGGAAGTATCAGCCAAAAGGTTAAGCCGAAGTGTGAATAATCGTCCCCTGTATAATTTTGAACCCGGCAAGGACAAATGCGACAAGTCCCGTATACAAAAGCAAAGCAGTGGATCTGCATTGAAATTCTGGCAGTTTTCCCCAACCCATAAGACGGAAGAAGTTAAAACCCGAAAAAAGCAATACCTGGGTGGACAGTCACCGAATCTAAAACAGTGCAATCGCTTCTGGGCCCACCATACGTCCTTCCCTCGATATGGACCAAAAATATCATTGGAAGCTAGTATGCAATATGGCATTCAAATTAAGATACCCTTGTAGCATCACCTACGATCTGTTCCGTTTGGTGCCCAACCCAACCGTGAAACCAATAGTCAAGGCTCGGTACACGATGTGCATTCTGTGAAAAGGACGGGTCTAGTTATATATCACGAATGATCCCCTCATCTCCGGTGTCCTGGTCTTAACCAATGTGAACGCATTCTGCTTGACCGGTTTGCCATTCGGCCGTTTGTTCGTGACAAGGTACGCCCCTCGTTCACTCAGTCAAGCCTCAGCCGAGTTTGCCAGCCAGTCACATTGTGTCATCGTACAAACCATATCACATGTTAGACGCTCAACTGAGTTCGCCACCCACCCATTTCGCTCTTGGGTTTCATAGTTGGTCGGCCATTTGTGCATCTAACATGAAGCCTGTTCACTTTATCGGCACAGCCTAGTGTCATAACACCATGCGGCAATCGCTCCATTGGGCCACTCAATAGGTACTTAACGAATCCAGAGTATAGGTCTATTAACGAGTTCAATTTCAGATATGCAAAACATCTGAGCTTACTATCATTCGGTTCTTATAGAGCTGTCTTCAAGAGGCGCAAAAAGCAGGAGCGCGTAACACATTTCAGGGCTCACGTGTTGATCAGTTCTCCGAGCTTGATATAGTAATTGCATACGTTTCGCCATCATGAGGTGGCAGCATTAGTGCGGCGATATGCAGTGTACAATCCTCTAATAATTCGATCAACATGCGCATCGACATCGATCTCGTGTACCATCAGCTCCGAAAGAAAGATTGACGGCGAATAGAAAGATATGGTTCAGCCGCAGAAGAGAATGGGCAGAGATCACGAGGCGCAAATCGAAATTGCTACTTTCCTCAGTCATCTGCCCGTCGATCACAGACTGACGATTCAATAAGCAGGATTGTACGCTGCATATCGCCCTACTGATGATGACACCTCACCTGGTGGCGAAACGTATACAAACCCTTTATCAAACTCGGAGAACCGATACACAGGTGAGCAACCAATCCGAGCTACCAGTGCTCCAAATTATTTCGAATATTTTAGGGCACTGAAATATGGCACGGCTCTAGCTACGAGGTTGGCTTACATTTTTGTAAGCACACATCAATAAGCGGTTGAGATAATGAACACTAGTCAATGTCAAGCTTCGTCGGATAACGTATCGACCGGAGATATGAGGCAGAAACAAATCAAACTAACTGGACGGGTCATTTTAAAGCATTCGTTTTGCAAAAAATTAAATCGTCAGTTGTACATTGTAAAGGCGCTTCGCTGCCGCGCGACCAGCACCAGTCGCGCGTGGGCTGAGTATACGCAAAGGAGACATTCTTGGTTTGGTATCTGTGGATTCCGAGAAATTGACTATTACACAGAGAGACGTCAGCAGTTCAGTCAGATGTATGCTTATCTGATCTTTTCATTACCGCTGACTCTATAACAGAGCCCATACTGAACGGTAAACATATACCACAAACCAAACGATAAGAGTGAAAGCTAATGTGTGGCAGATTGTAGGGAAAATATGGGCCTCTCTACCAAGCCATAGATGGTAGTTTAATTTCATAGTAACCATGCAAGCAGGAACGGAAACTCGGCTATAAACGGATCCGAACCCATTTGAGTTGCTCTGCGAAATAAGATGAATGTGATTTGATCATTAAGAGCAAGTGATCCAAAAACATCTCAGAAGCAAGCGGGATAGAAGAATAGTATGAGGAATAAGTCATCAGTGCGTGAACAAGTAACCCGTGTCTTCGAATCGAATAAATCGATGGGCCTGTTGGCACAAGAAAAGTGTCTTGGTCAACACTGGATGTGGGTGAAACGTTTCGAGAGGATAACGAATATAGTACAGAAAGAGCACGAAATATCACTGACAAAAGAACGAGTGAATGTACCCCCTGAACAAAAGAAACAAACGTGCTCAAAAGTAATCGGTTATAGGGTCTGTGAGACATTAAGTGAAGCTATCTAGAGTGAGCAGGGACGAGGGAAGAAAGGATTTAAGGATGGACCACAGGTCCGGCAAGGGACCTTTTTCAGAAGCTACAGCATGTGGAAATAAGAAACATTAATGTGAGCTTCCAAAAGCACAATACGAAACACGGCGGTAGGTTCACACAGTTTGGAACAGGGAATCATGACCCCTCTTGCCCGAATTCTTCTGTGAATTGTTGCAGTTTGACCAAATCGTTCTTGGACACCGTGGGCTTATTCCGCTGCAAAGCATGTTGCATATCGATCTAAAAAGTATGAAAACATGACACTATTCGTGCAGCTGAATCGATGAACGGAGTAGGGGTACAACACCGCGGTAGTCGCCGGGGAACATGTAGGAGACGAGGTGTGAAGCAATGATCATAGCGGGGAAATGTTTCTTTAAAGCTAATCACGAGAGGAACAAATAATTAAAAATGCACAAATTATTTTCAGTCCAAGAAACATATAAACACGAACAGATAGAACTCAATCACAAAGGACAATGTCCATAAGCTGCAACGATAGAACAAGCCAGTTTGAGACCCGGCCTTCTCAAGTTCACCACGATGTGGTAGAGTCAACAGCTGCTGGCCCAATCCCCTAAAAGTAGCCAACACACGACTCATCAATAGGTTAATCCTAACGAAGAAATGCCAACCAGATTGCTTACAAAGTCGACATTAAGATTGTCAGTTAGCTCCTCAGGATGAATAGGAAAACAGATGAAATTTGCAGAGCACAAGAAAAAAGTCTTCTCATTGACGCACATGCATTGATAAGAAAATGGCATCAGCGGTAGGCCGGTATGCAATACCGACGCTTCACTGCCGCGCAACCCTTAACATCCGCACGTGAGCTAAGGATATTGCGAGGGTCGCAGGGTTCCTACACAGGTCCGAAACCGCGCCCTCGGATTACAAGGCAGGCGTATGATCTTTAGCACTACGGGCCGGCATGCGTTGTTACAACTGGGAGGTCATCCAAGAAACATGAACGAGCAGAAAAAAGGATACCTACCATTGAAACAGGAGGCTCCTTTAACTTATCACTTGGTACATTCGACCAGGACATTTCCATGGCCCCAGGATCACCGGGTGAACAAGGAGTGAGAAGATCAGACACAACCTGTGACGGATCCAGAGGAGAAACACCGGAGACCTGACGGACAGCGAGAGAAAAGCCGATTACCCCAGTCATCCAAATGAACTATGGGAGAATCATAAAACAGTACAAAGCGAACTACATAGCAGTAGATGCTGTGGTTACAACGACAAGGCAGAATAGTGTATCAGTTAAGGAACTTTCTGATATAGCTAATATGGTGATAATTACTTATGACGATATCGAATAGTGCAGATATGGTGGTGATACATGTTATTCCTTCATGAACGCGAGGATTCGCTACTGCCCTTAAGGAATCATAATGACGACTACCAAGATGTGGAAAACAGCAGTAGTTGTGTACGAATACAATGAATGATCTCCTTAGTAATCGAAACTGATACAAAAACTGAAGATCGGATATCGATTAGGTGGGTTTGAGCATGCAGTAAAAACGTACCAGCTTGAAGTGAGTGGCCGATTGGACCTTTCGCACCGGCATCATGAGGGCTTCACGAACCACAATTCCTATATCAGCTCCCGAATAGCCATCGGTGAGTTCGCCGAGTCTCTTGAAATCCTTTTGAGTTAGCGTATGAGTAGTCTGACTCAAATGAGAACGGAAAATATCGCAACGTTCTGAAGCCTCGGGGAGTGGGATGTAGATACGCTTCTCGAAACGACGACGAATAGCCGAGTCTAACGTCCAAGGAATGTTTGTGGCGGCGAGTACTAAGATGCCAGCGTTATCATTGTTGACACCCTGTTTACACAGAGAATGACGGCAGAGCGATAGAGTTAAGAGGCGACGCATCAATACTATCATCGACAGCAGTACATCAGCAATTTGAATTTATATTTAGTTGTCACGTAACCACGATGGTCTTCGGAATAGTAACAGGTGAATGATGACAGGGCAGAGATTCCACAAATGGGAGGACTGCCTTTAGCCACTATGCAGAACCATAAACATACACGGTCAATTGAATTAAAGGTGGCCCTCAGTTAAGGGAAGTAACTAGCGGTAAACCGTCCATGTGTACGCGGGAGTGACGCTGTTTATGAATCTGACAAAATAAAAGCATAAGGCCGGTGTATTCTCAATCGGCACGACTTTCAGTG